TACACACACCCCTCAGAAAGTTGTCTGAGGCAGCTTGGTGAGCCGCGGCTGCTGGCCAGCTTGTGAGGAAAGAGTGATGTTGAGGGAGATCTGGGTGATGGGGCACCTGAGTGACTGGAGAGGTGAGGGTGGGGTCCAAATGAATATCTGGGCCTAGCTTTAAATAGCAATCCGTGCTTCTCAGAGTCCTCCTCCTGCCTTGTCCCCCCTTCTTCCCCTCTTCTCCTGCCTTTCTCTCCCACCCCCCACCCCCCCAAGGAAAAAACATACTTAAAATGTCATTTTCCTGCCTCAGGATGAACTGACAGCCTTGAATGTGAAACAAGGTTTCAATAACCAGCCTGCTGTCTCTGGGGATGAACATGGCAGTGCCAAGAATGTAAACTTCAATCCTGCCAAGGTGAGAAAACCCTGCCAGGCTGAAGGAAAAGGCTGGAAAAATCTGAGGAGGTGGTGTGTTGGGAAGACTTAAAGGGACAACCTAAGTGGCCGAGTTTTCCTTCATAACCTAATGCTACCACATTGGCATTTGCCATTCTAAGGCACGGTCACCTCCCTGCCCTTTCTTCCCACCCTGAGGTATAGTTTTCTTCCCTCAGATCAGTTCCAACTTCAGCAGCATTATTGCAGAGAAGTTACGTTGTAACACCCTCCCTGACACTGGTCGCAGGAAGCCTCAAGTGAACCAGAAGGACAACTTCTGGCTGGTGACTGCACGATCCCAGAGTGCCATTAACACCTGGTTCACTGACCTTGCTGGCACCAAGCCACTTACACAACTAGCCAAGAAGGTGAGACACTGTTTCTTATTCTTTAGGCCAAGGAGGGGAGCATGGGTACCAAGTACCCTCCTGTTCCCAGATTAAGCTATATGGTTGCAAGGTTGTGGTGGTAATAAGGGTCTTACTATTTGCAATGTCCATCCAGGTCCCTATTTTCAGTAAGAAGGAAGAGGTGTTTGGGTACTTAGCAAAATACACAGTGCCTGTGATGCGGGCCGCCTGGCTCATTAAGATGACCTGTGCCTACTATGCAGCATTCTCAGAGACCAAGGTTAAGAAGAGACATGTCATTGACCCCTTCATAGGTGAGTAACTCCCAATACCAGGGGTCCCACCAATGATCACTTCAAGGAGTGATAGACCCTTGGAATTATTATTCTTATTTGTATTCCTTGCTTCTGCTTATATGTTGCATTCTCTCAGTAAACATCCAGTATCTTGAGTGTCTACTGTGTGCATGTACTGGGCTATAAGGATGACCAGTACCTAATCTCTGCCCGTAGGATGCTTATAGTCTGGTAGGTATGCCAAGGCAGGTGTATGAATCACATAATTAAATATATAAAGTAGGTGTCAAAAGAGGAGGCAGCAGCTTTTTTGAGACTTCAGGGGACAGCTGGGAAGGCTTTAGGAAGGTGGCATTTGACTAGAGCCAGAGGATGATTAGGATTTAAAAGTACAGTAGCCTCCCTTACCCAAGGGATATACGTTCCAAGACCCCCAGCAGATGCTTGAAACCACGGATAGTAATGAACCCAATATATACTGTTTTTTCCTATACATACATACCTGTGATAAAGTTTAATTTTATAAATTAGGCATAGTAAGAGATTAACAACAGTAACTAAAAATAGAACAATTATGACAATATACCATAATAAAAGTTTTGTGAATATGGTTTCTCTCTCAAAACATCTTATTGTACTGCACTCATTCTTCTTGTGATGTGAGGTGATAAAATGCCTGTGTGATGAGATGAAGTGAGGTGAATGACGTATGCATTGTGACATAGCATTAGGCTACTATTGACCTTCTGACACTACATCAGGGGGAGGATCATCTGCTTTGAGTGATGCTGGATCACGGAGCCATGAATGACAGTGTCAGTGGTTGAATGTCAAGAACAGATGATGTTGATGGTTGGGAAAATTTATTTATTTTCATACTGCAATTGACTGCAGGTAACTGAAAAGGTGGAAAGCAAAACTGTGGCTAAGGGGGACTACAGTATGGTGATTGGGAGTAGGGTGGGGAAC